GCTTTCAATCGTATGCGGTGAGTTTAACCTGTTTGTCATTTTTATTTTAATAAAACATTTTGAGTTTAGTAACACTTTAACCGCTTTCCCGCCGCCCTTCCAGATATACTGCTACAGAGCGGCGGGGGTGCGCAAAATCACATATATATGTGATTTTGCAGTTCTGGGTAGGGGGCGCACGCAAGCCACGCGCGTGCCCTACCTGTGCTGCTATTCATGGCCTGCCGGCACCTGGTGATTGCGGAGCATTACCGACAGAGGGAGAGAACTGTATGTAAACTATACAGTTCTCTCCCTTGCCAGCTCCTGTACACTGCTTTGTATGACTCTACATAGCAGAGCCATACAAAGCAGTGTGCTTACAGTTGAAAGCACTAACACAGCTCACAGTAAAACAGCACACAGTTAACCCTTTGATCGCCCCACATGCCCAGTGCCATTAGTACAGTGTCAGTGCTTTTTATTAGCACTGATCACTGTATTGATGTCACTGGTGATGTGAGTGACACCAAGTCAGTTCCCCCCAGTGTCAGAATGCCCACTGCAGTCCTGCTATAAGTTGCTGATCGCCACCATTACTAATAAAAATTAAAAAAAACAAAACAAATCCCAGTGTATATACCGCCATTCGTAAACACTATAACTTTCACGTAAACCAATTCATTTACACGTATTGGGATTTTTTTTTAGCATAAACATGATGCAGAACCAATTTTGGCCTAAATTTTTTTTTAAAGTTTTTTTACTGGACATGTTTATTAGCAAAAAGTAAAAAAAAAAATTTTCTCAAAATTGTCGGTCTTTTTTGGTTAGGAAGGGGGGCAAATGCTCTACAGGACAAGTGAGTGTGCATGAGGCCTATGGGTTTTTAGCTACCTTTGCATCAACTGCAGGGTTAGACCAAGATCACATGTATCTGTGTCTTTTGTCTGTCTTTTAGTGTGTTTTGTAACGTGTTGTAGCATGTTCACACATTTCTATTATTCTATTGCAAAGATATAATATAATAATGCAAAGAAAATCAGACATTTTTCAAATTGCAGTGCAATACACTATAGAGATCCGAACAGACTTATTAAATAACATGAAAAACGAGGGCTCTAACATAAGAGCCTGAAAGCATTGGCATGCGGACACCATCCCTCTATATTTAAAATTAAATTTAAAAAAAAAATTCTCCTCAGAAATAGGTAGGAAGTAGGTTAGGACCCCTTTAAGAAATCAGATAAGGAAAAAAGTAAAAAGAGATTAAGCACTTGACCATGGAAAAAAGCAGGAAAATCACGTGACCTTGGAACATTCTGGAATATTGGGGGCTCATTATATAAAGGCACCCCGTGACTGAATTCTCCACAGTTGGTCAGAGTTGGCCAACGGGCTCCCCACCCTCCTTCCCTTGTTACAAGGCACTATTTATGTGGTTTGTGTCACCTTTTCTATAGAAAAGGGGGACTTATTGATAGAATTATTTCAGATGGCTCGAGTCCTTAAAGACTGAGCACGTTTATTCATGGTTGATAATTAAAGTGTAAGATTTTTGAATAAATTATTTTGCAAATTTAATTTATGTTATTATTATTATTATACAGTATTTCTAAAGCACCAACAGTTTGCTCAGCGCTGTACATTACAATGGGAGACAGAACATGTGACAGTAAAATAACAATACAATGCGATACATGAGGGGTTCGAGGAGTTATGTGTAATTACCAATAAAAGTGCCGCGTCCAAAAGTTTTATGCCAAAAAAGAAATGTCGTGTGTGTGTCATTGTTTGAAATGAATTTATTTAAGTATAGTTATTTGAGGAAGAGGGATATAGTGCGGCCTGCATTCCCATGCATTGTCCTACTTTACTACATATGTGACAAAATACCAAGGTGTGAACAGGGCCTGAGGACTCCAGTGCTGCAAGGTGTTTTTTTTTTCTTTTTTGGCTAAACTCAATAGACATGCACTTTATTTTATTTTCAAAAAAGCTATACAAGCCTTTCCATTTATGCTATGACCGTTTTAATTTCACGACACACTATAGTAAATCAGGCCCTATGGATGGTGTTAGCTGAGGAAAGCCAAGCCATGTTTGCACAGCAGTAGTTGCAGTGAGTCCTCTCCAGCAGGCTCAGGCCTGGGTCTCAGCACACTTTGCACTGCTTCTGTTGCCTGGGTTTCTTTGCTCAATGCAGAACGTAACTGAACTCCAGCAGAGCTGAGCTCATTGTTTGACTTTGCAGGGAAAATTGAAACCTCTTTCCGCCCTCCCCTCCTCCTCCACCTCCTCCTTGGAAAGGGGGGGGTGAGACTTGGCTACGAGAAAAGGATGTGAAAATATGGCGAACTTTTCCTGGGAAATGCTCAGGACGAAACCGTTACTTGTAAGAGTGTGCTAGAGAGCTGCGCAACAGGAGCCTGTGTGACCTGTAGAAGTTTCCTCAGCACATTGCCATGGCCTGTATTGTCAGCCCTGCCATTACTGCCTGAGGAACAATGGAGCAACAGGCTGTAAAAGAGGAGAGAAAGGGTAGGATGCAGTAAACTTCTTTGTTGACTTTTTAATTAACCCCTGTAGTGCTATCTTGCTAACTTGATTATTGCTGCCTTGGTCAGTCAATGGGTTGGCGACCCAGCTGAAGAGAGATGGTGAGCGGTGCTTTTCTGTGGACATTGTACACCTTTGTGTACAGGACAGGCAATGCTCCCTTCTAAAGTTCACTTCTAACAATGCAATAGAGGTGTATGTGTTGTCTCCAGTGACCGCAGTGCTGTCAGGGTCAAGACATTCTGTGATCTATCACCCTACTTCAAGGATTCCTGAGGTTCAACTGAGTACTGCCCGTGATACTTTTTTTTTATTCAAATTTTCAGGACAAGCTTTTGGAGTGTTCCCTTCTTTTTGATCCAAGCAGTATTTGGGAATACCCTGAAAACTTGTCCTGAAATAGTGTTAATATAAATCGTATCATGGACCATACCATTTTGTTGCAAGTGCACTAATACGGTTACAATCACCTCAAGCATGAGGTTAAACTTGTGGCCTGCATGATATCAAGAGAGAGGGAAAACGGAGGGGGGGTCCACCATGTGGGCTTACCGGTGAAGATGTACTTTTACGGACATTGAAGCCTCTTGGAACTCTGCTCGTTGCTGGACATGGGATAACTAAACTTCTTCTGTCTAGCTCTGCCCTTGGACTTGTACAGTAAGCTCAAGAACAAGGTCAAGGGATGCTGAAGAGTTAGAGAGTGAGCTTACTGTCTAATGAAGGTGGGAGAGATGTAGTGAAAACACTGTCAATGACAGAGAGAGACTACCATAATGCTAGCTCAGTGTATGGCTCTGAAAATGCCAGGGAACTACAAGCCCCAGAAGGCCATGTTAGCTTCTGGCTGCCAGTGTTTGCTGGGGTATATAGTTCCACTACAAGTACCGCTAGCCTAGCATTGGCAAGAACAGAGCACTGAGCATGACAGTATTAGAGAGAGTGTATTGGCAGTGTTAGGTCAACACTGAGTAACATAATGAGGTAATATGATGCGTGTTTGCTTGTATCAAGAATTGGAATAACTGTCATGGAGAGTTCACTGCTAAAAAAGGCTTACTGATTGACTATTAATTCACATTTTAGGAAAATGCATTACCATATGACCTAATCAAAATCATCAACATACCTTCTGCCTTCTATGTCTTCTACCTTTTTATTTGTTCCCTCACTTTTTTAGAATGTAAGCTTTATGGGCTAGTGTTGTGGCTGTTACTTGTTTACCTTTAGAATACAAAAATGTACAATTTATCTTTTGCACACTTGCGTTGTACTGTACTTAATATTGATTTATGTGGGATAATTTAAGCTGTTTAGGGTTCATATTGGTTAAACGTTAGGGTGAGAGCTGGGTATTAAGGTATCAGCCAAGGGTGGAGTTGAGTGTTATGTAACAGGTAAAAGGTTGAGTATTATTATTTATATTATATATATTATTCAGGTAAGGCGCGGGTTAAGAGCGTTTAAGTAAGGTGTGGATTAAAGTGGTTCTAAATGCAGGTTTTATACCTTAAAGAATTCTCTTCATTAGGCCCCTTTCACATTGATGGTCCAATCGGGTCCGCCTGTCAGTTTTTCATTGAACCTCTATGGACCAGTGGGTATCACCAGACAAGTTTCCGCTGACACCCGTCGGCATCCGATCCGATCCTGTACGCCAAAAACAGACAGATGGAATCCCATCTGTCTGCTGTCTGGTGGATTGGATTGGATGGAAATGGACAGGTGGTCCATTTCCATCCGACCGCCCCATAGAAGACAGCGGGCAGTGTCTGTGTCCACTGCTGCAGCGGAGCAGACACGGATCTGTCATCTTCCAGCTCAGCGGGGTTCAGCGGAAAGATCCCCCGCTGAGCAGGCGGATCCACTGACAGGTCCTCCCCATCTGAAAGGGGCCTTAAAGTGAAAAACCTTCTCTACAGCAGCAGAGCGGACACAGACCTGTCATCCTCCTGCTCAGCGGGGGATCAGTGGAGAGATCCCCGGCAGAGTGTTAGGATTTAGGTAGGAGGAGGGTTGAGTGTTAGGGTTTGGTTCGCAGTAGAGTTCGGTTAGGGTTCAGATACGAGCAGGATTGAGTGTTAAGATTCAAAAAAAGGAAGTGTTGAATGGTAAAGGGTAACTCTATATTCATGGGAAAAAATATAGCAAATAAAAAAAGAATATAGTATATACAATTGCTATACAAGCCATGTTGTAATTTAATGTTAATAAAAATGACCTTTCCTTTTTATTCTGCAGTGCTGTAGTTTTCTGTAAATTCAATGCAGTATGGTGACCTGGAGATGTTCTATACACAGTTGGTGTGCCAAACACCCCCAGAGATATAACCTGCTTGTGTGATTAGCTCACTGATTTTGTCTTAGTCTGCACTAAGATGCAATGCAGATTTTAGGCGTCCTGTGCAATAAAAATGTGAATTTTGGCAAGATACTACCAAAGGGTTGACCATGTCTAAAGGGATGCAGACACTACATTTTCCCTCATCAGCTGATTAATAAAGAACCAGACCGTTCCATTCAGAATAAGAGTGTAGTTAGCGGCGGACTGACCATTCGAGCATTCAGGCACTGCCCGAGGGCCCGGGGTCAGTAGGGGGCCCCATGAAATGCCCCTGGTACCTTTTTATAGGCTTTTTTGGGTATGCTTTGAGTGCGGGCAAGGACACAGGGGTCCCATGATCCCCTATTGTTTAGGGGCCCCATGAGTTGTCAGTCCGCCCCTGAGTGTAATCAATCTGGTGAAACAAACAGCAACACAAGGTAGAAATCCTCCACAAAGCTCAAATCCCTGCAATGTACATTGATCTCACAGAGGGATTTTCTTTCTGAACAATAGTGTTACTCTTTAAGGTTTGGGTTGGGGGAAGATTGAGTGTTAATGGGTAAGCAAAGCCTAACAATAACTATTCTTAAAAATGTTCTCCCCCCCTCCTCCTTCCTATCTTGCCTAACCTGTATAGAAAAAGATTTACCTATTTTTAATCCTAATCCAGACAAGTGATCCAGCAGCTCCAACTCTCCTGTGTCAGTGAGCAGCTGCTGCAGGGGAGAGGAGGGAGCAACGACAACAGCTAGACTGTAGGAACCTATGGGTGCCATCACCGCTCCTGGAATTCACAGCCATTGTCGAGAGCTCCCACAGCTGCAGGAGAACCTGACTGGAGTGGATTGAAAGTAGATAGGTGCAAAGATCTTTTTTACAGTGGTTAAGCAGGATAGGTAGGCAGAGAGGGAGGTAATAGGTGTAAGAAGAGTTATAGTTGGGGTTTTCTTCCACTTTAATGTAAAATTTAAACTTTTCTTCACACCAGGTAGTAGAGTTTTTGTTGTACTTCCAGCCTGCTATGGCTATGAGAGCTGTGGCTCAAGTGTTGTTGTTTATACAATTTTGTGAATGGGTCACAGACTACAAAGCATCCTGTGACTAGACAAGAGGAGAGGAGGGGTGGATAAATTACACTAATATGGGCTCCCATAGCCACAGCAGGCCATATATATGGTGAAAACTGTACTATTTGACCCTAATTCTTACAATATCTAACAGTCATCTCAACATTGGATAAACCTCAGCATAGGTAACATTTTTGTATACACAACAGAACAGATAAACGTCTCTCTGCCTGGAAAGGCTCTCTGTAGACCAACTTCAGCACCACCAGGGTGTCCATACATGGATCGAAACCTGGCTGGTCCCTGCTGAACCAGATGAATTTTGATGCATGTATGGCTAGCTTTGGTATTGTCATAAGGCGTGTGCTTCGAGATGAAGTGCATGATATTTTGCACTTCATCTCACGCATGCGCAGTATCACAGACATTTTCTCTTAATGTTGGTACAGGAATGGATACCCAGGCAGCACAGAAGCAGGACAAAAACAGGTAAGTATGAAAAAAAGGCACAAGGAGGTAGGCAAGAATGATTGATTATTTCCTCCCTATTCAGGTATATAGATTCATAGAGTAAGGATGGGGGGTAGGGTGTGTGTTGTTGTCTTTAAGTTCGATAATTTAATACATTTCCATTGCTCTCCCAACTTTTTCAAATAGCTACTCTGTAAAACCTGACCACTTTGAAGGAGAGATGCTTGCAATAGTTCAGAGCCGCGACATATTCATATACACCTTAGTAACACATACAGTACATGACTCCATCCACCATTTATCGCACTACCGTGAGACAGATTTCAAGAGTGCAATCAGTGATACGGTTTATAAATGACAATGACTATGTATCCATTCCTTAATCCATCCATTCCTCTATCCATCAATTCATCCATCTTTCCATGCCTTCCTTCCTTCTTCCATCCATCATGTATCCATCCATCTCTCTGTACTTTTTTACACATAAGACCTCTACAGCATCCAATCCGTTTCACATTCCCAATTCAGATGGAATGAAAGGGAAAATCTGATGGACTTCCATGGGCAACAAGAGCTGTTCCATTTGCGTTGGGCCAGAGCTTGAGTGCCATTCATTAGTATGAAGCTGATCTATTTAGTATGAGAGGAATGAACTGCATGTTAAATAGGAAGCCCGGGGAGCAAAAGGGTCTCTGAGAAGGGTCTTAGCCAGATCCAAAGAAACAAAGCGTAGACTGACAGACCATATTCAAAGAAGATAAATGTGATGGGAAGTAGAGAAAGCGAATCCATAGGTAACACTGGGCCTCACTTATCAAAGGTGTCTGAAAGGAACCCGTGGCAAGGAATCAGAAGGCAACTTAGAGAATGAGAGAGGAGGTATGAATCATCACTGGGGGCAACCAAGACATAGTCGGAAACATTTTGAAATGTTTATCAGAAACACAATATTGGGTTGATTTACTAAAGGCAAATAGACTGTTTACTTTGCAGGGGAATTTTCCCCAGTGAATGAAGTGAAGACGCTCATGACTTACATCATCCAATCATGTGCAAGCAAAAATTATGTTTTTTTTTATTTTCCTTGCACATGATTGGGTATTCTTTGCAAAGTGGATTTTCACCACATTCACTAAACTAAGGAAAAAAATCTAAACAGCCTGTTTGCCTTGACTAAGTTAACTCCACTGTCTCAGAATGCTGTCAAACATGGTAGAGCCTTTAGAGTTCATGAACACAGACACAGAGGGCCGTATACTCTCAAGGACTGTATCATTGATGGGCTGATAGATGGCTGTATGCCTGTAAGGTCTGGTTCACACTGGTGCGACTTCAGATGTGATCTGAGTTGCACAGAATCGCATGACAATGGAAATCACATTGTTTTCAATGCTGCCCATTCATACCAATATGATTCAACATAGAGTGATTTTGAAAAAGGTTCCTGTACTACTTTGATGTGATTCCAGTACGGTTTTGGCCCATAGAATATTAAAACTTTATCAAAGTTGCATCCAAGTAGCACTACATAATCACACTGAAAGTTGGATCAAAATCTAATCTCAGCAGTGTGAACCTAGCCTTACTACACATCCAGATGGTTACTGCATATAGGGATGGATGAGTGGCTCGGATATGTTGGTGCGGGCAGACAGCCATAGCATCTGCCAGTCTATCATTGAATATGTACAAAAATACCTGTGATTCCTGATTTTCACCTTACCTCTCCACCTCTTCCAATCAAAGAACACCTGTATTCATTAAAAAAATACAATGTGTTCTCTAAATGGTAGATGTGCTGACTCCCTATGTTCTGTGTGTGGAGAACTTCAGCAAGACAACTATCACTGTATTAATGCCAACTGCCACAGTGATTTCCAGCTTCTCCTTCAGCCCATCAGGTATAAGATATTAAGCTTGCATTGTGCCAAGCTGGAGCAATGTAAGTAATACAGATCATTCCTGATGTGCGACTTTAAACAAAAAAAGGAAATTTGGGGACTGTTTTGGCCATACTTCTCCTGTGGGTTACAGGAGGGCACTTCTTCCTGCTTTCTTGTGATCCATATTCAGCTGACAGTGGGGTAAAACATCACAGAGCTGGTTTAGGCTCTGCAGGGATACTGACAATAATGTCAGGATCTGCCCAGATGCCTGAAGGACAGCTGGCTCAGCCTCTCAGCATGCCACTGAGAGCATAAGCCAGCTACTCCCATCCCCTCCACAGTCTGATACTCCAGTGAGCACTGGAGGGGCAGAACACAGAGCAGGGACTGACAGAGTGAACCCGAATTCTAAGCGATCAGTGGACTTTGATTGCTCTTTTCTCAGTGCAGGACTGGCTGGGAGATAGCTGCAGCATCGAATCAATGTTGCAGTCATCTAGGTGAGTATGTAGGTTTATTATTTTGGTTTCCCGATCTCTTTTAATACATGAAAAGTATTTTTTGCATTTTAAAATGCTCATGTCCAGTTAATGCTACATAGTTATTAAAGTGATACTAAACCCAGGACCCTGCATTCACTATATCTGATCTCCCACAGTGCACAGAACAGGGAAATGCAATCATTTTAGTAAATATAAAATAAAATACCTGCTCATCAGCAGTTAGAGCAGTCAGGTGACTTCTATCAGTGTCTAGCTGAGCACTGGTTAAAGCTTGTAGGAGGAGTTTTCATTCTCCCCTGATTGTCCTATGAGGTTGCAGGACCCCTGATCCTCTATCTGGACAGTGCTGAGTGGCCCTGTGCTGAACACATGCACTCTCCCAAGAAAAAAAAACCTCTCAAGCAGTACACACCAAACTGAGCATGTTTAGCTTGCCCACAAGGCTCTGTTCTATTAGCAGATGAATTGGGGACAGTAGAAGAAGGGAAAGATCAAATAAGACAGGATCAAACATGTGTTTTACACAATGCAGAGGATTAACCCCTTAGGTTCCACAGTGAGTATAACAAGCATGCTTTACTGCATATACAGACTGATTTTACTGCTGTGGGTTTAGTAACACTTTAATGGGAAACAAAATGATATGTAACAGAAATGCTTGTACTTTTCCAACGAAAAATCTTCAATATAGGCTTAACCCTGGTATCTGTTGGTTATCCCTTCTAGACATCTTGATGTATTTTAGGAAAATATTTGATAATCTCCTGCACACTCATAGTGTTGCAATTTTACTTGAATCCCGTATTTTATCTGTGAGCCGGTTTTAAGCTGCACCCTTTAGCCAACTGCTGAACTGTTGTGCCTTTATACAGTGCAATGATACTACAAATACATTCATTCTTAATTCTTAATAGACAAGCTGATGATTAAATTAGCTGATTTACTGCCTGCCAGTATGGCACATGTCCACTTATGACCAGGGGCGGACTGACAACTCATGGGGCCCCCGGGCAATAGGGGATCATGGGGCCCCTGTGTCCTTGCCCAAACTCAAAAAAGCCTATGAAAAAGGTACCAGGGGCATCTCATGGGGCCCCGTACTGACCCCGGGCCCTCGGGCAGTGCCCGAGTTTCCAAATGGTCAGTCCGCCGTTGCTTATGACTGATGTGCGGGCCATCTCTGTATCACAAATAAGTGTTCACTAAGTAAAAGAACTTCAAAGTAGAACTACAGGGCAACATACTGACAACAATGAACAAATGCTTCACACAGCTTAAACCGTATCTAAAGCCCAAATAAAAAACATAATGTATTGCAGCATTCCAGTTCTTAGATGTATGGCTGCATTAGTTTTAATTTTTTTCCGGTATTTTTCTTTTTTTCACTTGAAAATATCACACTTCCTTTCCCTTCATGTCTACACTCATTTCTCCATTGTACCAATGGAGGGAACTATGGTTGTGACACAGGCTGTCTGTCTTTGTGTATCTCCTCTAAATGGTGAAATGATGGGATTAGTAGCTAAAAAAAATAGGATGTTTGTGCTTTCTATTCAGCCCACAAGACATGACAAGGATGCTACTTTCCTGGCAAGGTCAAACGGTATTTTCTGTACTTTTAGAACAGTTCTTAGCTTCAAAAATGAAAACAAATGCAACCACTGCATCTAATGAGTGGGAAACTGCAATATATAACATTTTTATTTTTAGCTTTATGCACTTTGATATTGCCCAGGTGACCCCCCCCCTCCCCTCGCTACCAGTCATAGAAAAAATTTGCCCCAGGCCTTTAAAGAACTAAAAAAAAAAGGTTTTTGGCTGGAACTGGCTCATATTTGTATTTTATTAGTTGTTCTTCATAATTTGTTTAGTATGCAGTGATACCACATCCACTTCAATACCGGGCACTTTTACCCTCTTCCTGCCCAAGACAATTTTCAGCTTTCTGCATTCTCACTATGACAATGGTCATGCAACACTGTACCCATAAAAAATGTTATTTTGTTCACACAATAGAGCTTTCTTTTGGTGGTATTTAATCACCGCTGAGTTTTTTATTGTTTGCTAAATAAACAAAAAAAACAAACTTTTGGGGGAAAAAAATGTGTTTTTCTTCATTTCTGATGTAAAATTTTGCAAATAAATAAAGTTTCTTCATAAATTTAGGTCAAAATGTATTCTGCTACATTTCTTTGGTGAAAATAACCCAACTTAGTGTATATTATTTAGTCTGTAGGAAAGTTAGACTGTAGGTAGATAGAGACCACAAACTATGGTATATATATCTGACAATCGATCAATCCTGATGTGCTGACGGCTCATTTCTTGAGGCCTGAAAAAGCCAGGATAGTTCAAATACCCCCCCAAATGACCAATTTTTGTCAAATAGACAGTCCAATGTATTTAGTAAGAGACATGGCAAGTTTTTGGAAGTTGTAATTTTTCTGTCACAATTTTTTGGAAAATGGAGAAATTAAAAAGAAGAGGAGATTAAGGGGGGATATGATCAACATGTATAAATACATTAGTGGTTCATATAGTGAACTCGGTGTAGAGCTATTCACCCTGAGGTCATCACAGAGGACAAAGGGGCACTCTTTATGTCTGGAGGAAAAGAAATTTAATCTACAAATATGGAAAGGTTTCTTCACAGTACGAGCTGTAAAAATGTGGAATAGACTCCCTCAAGAGTTGATTCTGGCCAGCTCAGTGGATTGCTTTAAAAAAAGGCCCGGATTCTTTCTTGGATACACCGAATATAGCTAGATAGTAACATTTATAGGTAAAGTTGATCCAGGGAATATCCGATTGCTTCTCGAGGGATCAGGAAGGAATTTTTTCTCCTGCAGAAGCAAATTGGATCATGCTTTGCTGTTTTTTTTTTGCCTTCCTCTGGATCAACTGTGGGTGTAGGATTATAACTTTTTTTTTTGAGGGCTGGTAAAACCCTTTGGTCGAGCTGTGTTTTTCCTGCTCCTCATCTTCTCCCCCTTTAGCTGGTAAGGTAACAGCCAGGGATTTACACATTGTCAACCCCCTGTTGCGTTCCAGGGGGACTATTGCCCACCGAAAGTGACCCATTCAAGTGAAAAGCAAAGCAAGTGTGAATGAGTCCTTTGTGTCAGTGAGGTTGAGGTTTTGTGTAGATGGCATCATTCTGAGACACTTCTAAGATCATGTAAAATTTATTTATACCTGCATCAGACCTGCAGCTGACCTCCTTGTTGCAAACGTGCGCACCAGGGACTGACGCAGTCCTCCATTTTGTTTGACCTTTAAGTAATAAATCTTTCCTTCTGAAAGTGTTGAACTGTTTTATATAGCGCTTTATTGCAAATTATGAATTCCTGCCTCTAAAGAGAACGCTACTGTGTTTGTTTAACCCTCCTTAGAACTGTGTTATACAGACGATTACCTCAACCATTATAGTGTTATAACTGATATCACAGAGTTTCCTCTTTCTCTGTACAAAAAGGAGGTATGGCAGTGTGAAGGGTTAATTGCATAATTAACCTGACCCAGTAACAATCGCTCAGGCTGCCGGTACATCGATTGTGGTCCAATTAGCTGGAAAATTGTTCTGCAGGGTGCAGCTGGGTGTGGCATTGTTACGCACGTTTTAGATCGGCTAGGCCTTCGGTCACAAGTTTGGTGAGAAGGGCTGGGGTCTGACGCCGCGATCGTGACACTCCTGATCTGCATTTGACCTGCTGCAAGCAGATTTGTAATCCTATAGACTTGTATGGGAAAGCAAGACCCATTTGAAGTGAACAAATGTCAACACAGGTTCTTAGCATTTACAGTGATTCTGGCAAATTGGAGTTCAGCTGCTGATTAAACAACAAGCATTGTTTGGAGCTCCATACAGAATTTGCCAGCTTCAGTATCTACTCTTATTATCAAGTACAGCTGCTAGTGATCATGGTACACCAGACAATTGGGTGTGCATATAAGGCTCCATGCACACTGGGTGTTTTAATAACACTGGTAGTGTTAGCCGTGTTAAGTCACGTTAAAAACACAAGTTTTTCAGTGTTTTTTAGCAGGTTTTCAGTAGCGTTTAGCCGTGTGTTTTTTTTAGTGGTTTTTTTTTTTTTTGCTCAAAAAAGGTCTAAATATGATGGTTTGCTGCGTTGTACCACGTTTTACTGCGTGTGTTTTTTTTTCAGTGTTCGAGCATTTTTACAGCTTAAAAAACTCCTCTAGAAACCCACTAGTTCTGGGGGGTTTTTCCAGCCAAAAAATGCCCTGCCAAAAATGCTGATTACAGCCTATGTGTGCATGGACACATAGGATAACATGCTGGGGAGTTTACTTACTGTAGAAAAAAAATGCCAAAAGCCAAAAAGAGCAGCTATAAGTCCTCATGCACACTTGAAGTTTTACAGTTGCTGACATTTTTTTCTACAGCTAGTAAACCCCCAGCATGTTATCCTATGTGTCCATGCACACATAGACTGTAATCAATGTTTTTTGGCTGGGACATTTTTTGGCTGGAAAAAAACCCAGGACTAGTGGGTTTCTAGAGGAGTTTGTTAGCTGTAAAAATGCTCTAACGCTGAAAAAACGCGCCAAAACGCAGTAAAATGCCGCAAACTGGCGTTTTTGGACTTTTTTGATCAAAAAATAAATATTTGTTTAAATATAAAAATGCAAGAAAACGCAAATGCTGAAAAACAAGGGGAAAAACGCCACGAATCATGGCTAAACGCTAATGCAAAAATGCTAAAAAAAGATGAAAAACTCACGTTTTTAACGTGACTGTACACAGCTAACGTTACCAGCGCTATCAAAATGTCCAGTGTGCATGAGGGCTAAAAACATCCAGTGTGCATGAGGGCTAAAAACATCCAGTGTGCATGAGGACTAAGAATTACTGAAGTCCTATACAGCAGCAACTATGTAGCCAGCATAAATCCCTTGGGAAAATAACTAGGAAGATATCTGTAGCTGCTTCAAAGTTGTCCAAGTGAAAAAGACCTAAGAATTGCATTGCAACTAACCAAGATGTTCTTTCTGGCCCAGTTTTTAAAAAGAGATGATCTACATATTGGACAGTCTTGATTCATTTACCTAAAAGAATGAAAGATCAATACCCGGACACACAAATATTTGAAATTCTTTATGTTTGTATGCCTTAACCACTTCCACTTTTACCCCCTTCCTGACCAGGGCAATTTTCAGCTTTCAGCGCTATCACACTTTGAATGACAATTGCGCGGTCATGCAACACTGTACCCAAATGAATTTTTTACCATTTTTTTTGAGACAGATAAAACTTTATTTTGGTGGTATTTATTCACCGCTGGGATTTTTATTTTTTTTGCTATGTAAATGAAAATGTCCAAAAATTTTGAAAAAAAGTGTTTTTTTTATAAAAATTTTGCAAATAAATAATATTTCATCACAAATCTTGGCCAAAGTGTATTCCGTTATCTTTTTTAGTAAAAAAAAATCCAAATTAGTTTATAACCAAAAATTATAATTTTTAAACATTTTTTTTTACATTTTTATTTTATTTTTTTATATTATTATTTTTTATTTTTTTTTACATACTGTCACCCTAGCAGTACAGTGTCACCATGGTGACACTGTACTACTTGTGGGGGGTGATGAAGATTTTTTTGTTTTTTTTTTACACTGATTGCTTTTACACCCATATAGGAGGTAAAAGCAATCATTTCTCTTTCTCTCTGTCTGCATTCTTGCAGTCATTGAGAAGTACTGAGTGAGCTGTGATTGGTCACAGCTTGTCACATGGTACAAGGCTGTTGTGAATAGCCTTGTACCATGTGACCTCTGTGATCATTCACAGATTTCACACGTAGTAAGCAATGATGTCACAAGTGACATCTTGCTTACTACTTTGCATGTGATCACTGATTGGCCAATCAGTGATCACATGATCGGGATCTCGTACAGAGGTCCCGTCCGGCGATCGGTGTTCCACTGTGTCCGGAGGACACAGCGGGCACAGGATCATGGTGCTGCGCGCTCCCAGGGAGCGCGCACAAGCAGGGTGCGGGGATGCCGTTTATAAACAGCCACCCGACCCTGCAGTGCCACCGTCCGGCCGTTTATATGCAACGGCCAGTCGGGAAGTGGTTAAAGTGGTTGTAAAGCTCAGAAAAGATATATGACATAATATTATTATTAT